TTCAGTCAGGACGGTCCTCTTGGGCGGTGCCGGGGTGCAGGAGCCAGCTGCCTCATGGCGATGGGGACCAGCCGGGAGCTTGTCCCCAGCGTGCTTGCGGGAGCGGTAGGAGGGCCGGCGCCGCACCTCAGCCATCAGGTCACACTTGATGAAGTAGAAGACCTCCTTGACGGGACAGCGCTTCTCAGGATCGAGGGCCAGCAGGCGCTGGAACATGCGCAGGGCGCTGTCCGTGAAACGCCGCCACTGTGAGGGCAGCCCCCCCAGCCGCCCCTTCTGCCACCGTACAAACTCCTCGAAGAAGGCGTCAGAAGCCGCCGCCGCCTCCCAGGGGAAGTTCCCAGTGAGGACGCAGAAGATGAGCACCCCGAAAGCCCAGACATCGATGCTGGTGTCCACGGCAAAGCCCTCCGCCCGCCCGGCTTGGCAGACCTCGGGCGCTGTGTAGGGGATGGTGCCGCTGATGCGCTTGACCCGGGAGCCCACCTTGCGGGACCTTGCGGGTCATGCCGAAGTCGGCCAGTTTGACGCGGCGGCAGTCGCGGTCGAAGAGCAGGACGTTCTCCGGTTTGATGTCCCGGTGTACCAGGCTCTTGCTGTGCATGTAGTCGAGGGCCAGGCCCAGCTGCTGCACGCAGCGCTTCACCAGCTCCTCGGGGAGCCCCACCTGTGGGTGTGGGGTCACAACGTAAGCCACCTGCCACCAAACCCCGTGGTGATGCCACCCAGGTCGGGGACTGCCATATCTCTGTGTCGTTACATATCCGACGCGGTTGCGGCTGCTTTTATCTGGGGTGCTCTCTGTGGCAGAGAGACAGGTAGTGGGTCTCGGGCCACCCTAGGAGTGGGTGATGGGTCTCAGGACCTCTAGGGGATGGGTGATGGGTCCCAGGCCACCCAAGGTATGGGTGATGGGTCTCAGGCTCCCTAGGGGTTGGGTGATGGGGCCCAGGCCACCCCAGGGGATGAGCGATGGGTCCCAGACATGCTCGTAGGTGCTTGTGGTTGGTGCCAACCCATATATGGATGCCCGGTCCCCACGCATGGGGCCCTGTCCCATGTGGCCACTGAAGCACAGCACCAGCTTTGCTCAGCACCCTGGGGATACTGAGCCCCAACACCCCCACACCCCGAAAAGGCTCCCATGAGAGGGGCAGGGGCTCGCACCTGCGGCGGGATGATGTCGAAGAGGTCCCCACCGGGGGCATACTCCTGAGCGAAGACGTAGCAGTCCTCGGTCTCGAAGACCACATCAAAGACCTTGATGATGAAGGGGCTGGAGGAGAGCGTGTTGGTGATGCTGAACTCCCGCAGGAAGTTCTTCAGCTTCGTCTTGTTCTTGTTGACGAACTTCAGGGCCATCTTGGTGCCTGCCATGGGCAGAGGATGAGAGTGAGCCTGGGGCACATTTGGGACATGCTGGGCACGCTGCTCCTACCACGGCCACGTGCTCCACACCCCCCTCGCTCCCCTCACCTGTGCTTTTGTGGGACACCAGGTCCACCTTGCCGTAGGTGCCTTTGCCGAGCTCACGGATGAGGTCGTAGTGCTTGCTGATGTCGGTGCCCGAGAGGGTGCGGATGGCCAGGGACTGCATGTCCTCAGTGATGAGGGGCACCCCGCAGCAGGCCAGCTTGCGTGACGGCTCTTGCTCAATTGAACCCGCACTCATGGCTGCACTGCAAGGCAGAGGCGTGTTACTGCTTTTGGTGGGTGCTGCAAAGCCACCACACCCTGTCCCGTCCCATCCCGTCCCCAGGGGTGGGAGCCACGGTGCCTTGTGAAGGGACACTGGGCTGCTTGGGGTGGTGGTGAGCAGCACCCATGGATGCCACCCCTCTGTCCCCAGGGGCCACCGACCCAAGTGGACTGCAAAGGGTGCTCCAGCCTTTGCAGGGGCTGCAGGCCTG